AAGCTGTTTTGATGATTGTAGCTTTATAGTAGAGTTTGAAGTCTGGTAATGTGAAACGCCCTGCTTTGGTTTTTTTTGCTGAGAATTGTTCTGGCTATTTTTGGACGTTTGTATTTCCATATGAATTTCTGCATTGTTTTTTCTAGGTCTGAGAAGAATGTTGCTGGTAATTTGATGGGTATTGCATTGAATTTGTAGATTACCTTAGGTAAGATGGACATCTTCACAATGTTGATTCTTCCGATCCATAAGCATGAGATGTTTTTCCACTTGTTTGTGTCAACTTAATTTCTTTGAGCAGTGTTTTGTAGTTTTCATTGTAAAGGTCTTTTGTGTCTCTGGTTAGGAAGATGCCAAGGTATTTCATTTTTTGTGGCTATTGTGAATGGAATTGTGTTTTTTATTTGGGTTTCTGTTTGTTTATTATTGGTGTAGAGAAATGAGATTGTCTTTTGTACATTTATTTTGTATCCTGAGACTTTGCCAAAGGTCTTTATCAGTGTAAGGAGGTTTTTGACAAATTTTCTTGGGTTTTCAAGGTATACAATCATGTCATCTGCAAAGAGAGATAACTTGACTTTCTCTTTTCCTATTTAGATACCTCTGATTGCTCGAGCTAGGACTTTCAATACTATGTTGAACAGGAGGGGTGAGAGTGGGCATACTTGTCTTGTTCCAGTTTTCAGGGGAAATGGTTCTAATTTTTGTCCATTTAGGAGTATGCTCGCTGTGGGTTTCTCATAGATGGCTTTTACTATTTTGAGGTATGTTCCCCGTATGCCTAGATGTTCGAGGGTTTTTATCAAGAAGGCGTGCTGCATTGTATCAAAAGCTTTTTCTGCATCTAATGATATAATCATGTGGTTTTTGTTTTGACATCTATTCATGTATTTAATTACATTTATGATTTTACGTATGTTTAACCAGCCTTGCATCCCAGGGATGAAGCCTACTTGGTCATGATGGATGATTTTTGAGATGTGTTGTTGAATCCGGTTTGCTAGGATCTTCTGAGAATTTTAGCATCTATGTTCATCAAAGATATTGGCCTGTAGTTCTCTTTCTTTGTTGGATCTTTACCTGGCTTGGGTATCAGTTTGATGTTGGCTTTGTAAAATGATTTGGGGAGAGTTCCATCTGTTTCCATCTCCTGGAACATCTTCAGTAGGATTGGTATCAGCTCCTCCTTAAATGTCTTATATAATTCTGCTGGAATGCCATCTGAACCAGGGCTTTTTTTAATAGGTAGTTTTCTTATTACGGAGTCAATTTCCTTGATTGTTATTGGTCTATTTAGGGTCTCAATTTCTTCTGGTTCCAACCTAGGTAGGTTGTGTGATGTCAGAAAGTCCTCCATTTCCTTAAGATTTTCAAGTTTGTTTCCATTCAAGTGTACATAGTAGTCTCTAATGATCTTTTGTATTTCTTCAGGGTTAGATGTGACTTCACCTTTTGTGTTTCTGATTGTGCTTATTTGGGTTTTTTCTCATTTTTTCTTGGTCAATCTAGCTAGGGGACCATCGATCTTGTTTATCCTTTCGAAGAACCAGCTTTTTGTTTCATTGATTTTTTTGTATTATCTTTTTGTCTTCTATGTCCTGGATTTGGGCTTTTATTTTGGTGATTTGGATTCTTCTGCTGAAACTAGGGTTTTAGTAGTCTTACTTTTCCAGCTTCCTTAGGTGGCTTGTTAGGCTTTTAGTTTGTGTTCCTTCCATTTTCTTCATGTGTGTTTGTAGGGATATAAATTCCCCTCTTACTGCAGCTTTTAAGGCATCCCAGAGATTTTGGTAAGATGTTTCTTCATTTTCATTTTTTTCCAGGTATCTTTTGATCCCTGTTTTGATTTCATCATTGACCCGGGAGTTGTTTAGCATCATGCTATTTAGTGTCCATGTCTTTGTGGGTTTTGGGGGACATTGTTGGTGTCAATATTTATTTTTATGTCACTGTGGTCTGAGAAGGTGCAGGGTAGAATTTCGGTCCTTTTAAATTTGCTTATGCTTGATTTATGTCCAATTATGTGGTAGATCTTAGAATACATTCCATGCAGTGATGAGTAGAATGTGTATTCTGTGGTCTTTGGCTGGAGTATTCTGTAGGTATCAATTAAGGCCATTTGATCCAAAGTCACTTTGAGGTTCCGGATCTCCTTGCTGATTTTTTGTCCTGATGATGTGTCTAGGGTTGTGAGTGGGGTATTAAAGTCCCTAGTTATGATGGTGTTAGAGTGAGTATCTTTCTTTAGTTTTCTTAGAAGTTGCTTTATGAAAGTTGGCGCACCTATGTTGGGTGCATTTATGTTTAGGATAGATATTTCCTGTTGATGGAGGGAACCTTTTATCATTATGTAGTAGCCCTCTGTATATTTTTAAATTTTTGATAGCATAAATGGCATTTTGTCTGAAATTAGGATCGTGACTCCTCCTTTCTTTTGTGTTCCATTTGCCTGAAAGTTTGTTTCCCATCCTCTTACTTTGAGTCTGTGTATGTCCTTTCTAGTGAGGTGAGTGTCTTGAAGGCAGTATATTGTTGCCTGGTGATATTTTATCCATTTTGCCATTCTATGTCTTTTCAGTGGTGCATTTAGTCCATTCACATTCAGGCTAATTATTGAAATATGAGAGTTCATCCCTTTCATAGAGTTCTTATAGTGTTCTTCCACTTGGTTCTTTTTTGTCTTTCTTTTGGTTTTGGGGTTGGTTCATGTATATTTTATTCTTTTCCCTGTACTGTTTTGAAGAATGTTGTTCTTTTTTCCTTTTCTTCTGTGTTTAGTACTTTCTTAAGTGTTTCACGTAGAGGTGGTTTGGTGGCAGCATAAGTTCTTAGGGATTGGATATCTGGGAAAGATTTTAATTCTCCCTCGCTGATGAAGCTTAGCTTGGCCGGGTAAGTTATTCTTGGTTGAAATTGTTTATCTTTTAGGACTTTGAAGATAGGGCTCCAAGCTCTCCTAGCCTGTAGGGTTTCTGTAGATAAATCTGCTGCTATTCTGATTGATCTTCCATGGTAGGTGATCTGGCCTTTTTCTCTTGCTGCCTTTAGGATTTTTTCTTTTATGCCTGCTTTGTTTAGGTGAATTATTATGTGTCTAGTAGTTGGTCTTCTCATTTGTTGCCTTGCAGGGGTTCTCTGAATCTCTTGTGTTTGAATTTTTGCATCACTGATTAGATAAGGCAAGTTTTCTTGAATGATCTCATGGAAAGTTTGTTCTAGTGTGGTCTCTGTCTCTCTTTCTGCCTCCGGTATGCAAATTACTCTTAGGTTTGGTCTCTTGAAGTAATCGTTCATCTCTTGAAGGTTCTGTTCTGTCTTTTTGAGCTTGTTTTCTGTGTTTTTAAGAGTTTGGCTTAGTTCTATATTTTGTTCCTCAAGCTCTGAGTTTCTTTCTTCTGCTTAGGTAACTGTGCCTTCCATTCTTATTAGTTTGTTATTTATTTCATTCACAGTATTCTTTATTACTGTTATCTCAGATATCATCTCCTTTGTAGTTTCTTCTTGTGTCTCCTCAGTTCTTTTTAATCTCTCCATTATTGTCTTGATATCAACGTTCGTAGTTTGAGACTCTTCATTCTGGGGGCTCTTCATTGTTTGCATTCTGAAGTCAGTTTTCTCTGTGTCTGCCCTCCCAGGGGTCTGGGAGAGACCCATAGTCTTCTTTTGGTTTTTCTTCATTTGTGTAGATTTTTCTCTCTCTCCCACTTTTCCTCCCCTTATTTAATTCTTTTTTTAGGGGAAGGTGGTGTTGCTTTCATTTCTCTTCTGCTATATCCTGTTCTTCCTTATGAGGGTCTTCTCGCTTTGTTCACTTTTGAAGTTGGAGTGTTGGCTGCAATCCGTACTTTTTGCAGTTTTGAGGTTTAATTGAGAGGGTAGCTGTGGTTCAGAGTGTATATGCTGATTCTAGCCTCCACATACAAGTGTATGAGCACTCTGGAACCTATTTTCCTCTGCCTTACAATCTGTCCATTCAGCAGTATGTAGTCTTGGTTCCTAGATTAAAATGGGGGTACAAAAGAGGAAAATAATGGAGGAAGGGGGAGTCAATAGGAAGTTAGGGAGAGAGAAGAGTGAGAAGGAAAACAGACATACATACCAACTATCAGGTAAGAAAGAGACACAAGGCCGGAGAGAAGTGGAAGAAGATACGTAAGAAAGATTTCCTAAAGAATACTGATAGCTACACAGAGAGAGACCAATATAAACTTGAAACAGTGTAAGTCAGAAGGCAAACAACAAACGTGATCCAAATAAACAGTCAAAATGATAAAATCATAAGTCACAATAAGAGATCAGACTAAAATAACTTCAGCTCTGATCTCTGGCCTCTCCCCTTTGTTTTTCCTTTGCGGGTAGCTAGGTTTACTCACAGCTTGGGTTTGGTTGCCTGGGAGTTGCTTTTATCTGATTCAGCTTAGGGGTGGGGCTTTGTCTCCTGTTTAGCAATGTTACCTTAGGAACCAAGGTGGAGTTTGTTGATAAGTGGGCAGGGCAATGGAAATCTCTTCCTGGAGAAAGGGGGAGGCAGATTCTCTTTCTTAGATCCCTTTCTCTCTGCTTGTCTGGGTCCCCAACCTTGGGGTCATGGGCGGAGTGCCTTAGCCAGGGTGGGCCCAGAGCTCTAAACCTCCAAACTCCAATGGCAGGTGGTGAGTGGTAAGTGTGGCCCTGGGCCCCCCACAGAGTACTTCAACCAGGAATGGGAGTGGTGTCTCTGAGGGGCAGGCGTCCAGAGCCTCCCTGAGTGACCAGTGGCTTGGTGACAATGAGAGACGATGTAGCCAGGAAGCTAGCTGAGACCCGAGACTCCCACACATGCGGTGGAACAGCAGCAGCAAGAGGCCGCAGTATCCGGCCCTGCATGGGACTGAGGGTCCCCAGGCCTCGGACCAGCGCTTGCTGGTGGTGGGCTTGAATCACCAGCAAGTGGTGCTATCCCTCGCTCCAGATGGTCTTTATCTCAGCTGCTCACCCGCCCCTCAGGCACTGATGGTGCGATGTGGAATGCCTGCCTCGGAGGCAGTGGTGACAGCAGCAGCAACGGTGGTGGCAGTGGCGGCTGGGCCGCTGGCCCAGGTGGTGCGATATGTAATGGCCGCCTCTGTGTGGTGGCTGCCTCAGAAGAGGCTGCTGCTCGGCTGCCTTGGAGGAGGTGGAGAAGCTGGTGGCTTGGCTGCCTTGGAGGGGAGGGCAGCGGCAACTCAGCAGCCTCAGAGGAGGGGGCGGCAGCTGCTTGGCTGCCTCGGAGGAGGTGGAGAAGGTGGTGGCTTGGCTGCTTCAGAGGAGGGGGTGGCGACTGCTTGGCTGCCTTGGAGGAGGCAGAGAAGGTGGTGGCTCAGCTGCCTCGGAGGAGGGGATGGCGGTGGTTCGGCAGCCTCGGGGAGGGGGCGGCGGCACCTCCGCCGCCTTGGAAGGGGGCTGGTGGCACCTCCACCGCCTCGGATGGGGGGGCGGTGGCGCCTACGCTGCCTCGGGGGGGCAGCAGTGCCTTCGCCGCCTTCGAGGAGGCTGCGCCGGTGGCTCTGGCGCCTTGGGCCCAGGAGGCCGCGGCTTGCTCCAGGTACTGGCAGTGCGATGTGGAATGGTTGCCGGCCTGGGCAGCAGCCACACTCACCACAGTAGCTGCCCAGACTTTGGAAATGTCTCAGCAAAGTCTACCGTGGAACTCCATTTGAAGAGTAGGCTGCAGACGATGGGATCCGCAACCTCCGGGGTGAAAATCAGATCTCTTTGCGTTCTCCTCAGTGGAGAGTTTCACAGAGCTGTCCCGTCACCATCTTGCCCCAGAAAACTGACAGCTCTTTTTATTTCCATTTTCTCAAAGCATTCTCACAGTCACCTTGCTAGGTAGATATTATTGCCTTCAACTTAAAATTAAAATAATTGAAACCCAATGAGATAAGAGCACTTGCATAGTTCACAAAACCAGGAAATGAGAGCTTCAGAATTTTTGTTCATCTTGAAGTCATAGACTTTATTATATTCATTTTTTGAAATATTTTGAATATTTGTTGAAGTAATAAATAAACATGATTAAAATTTTCAGTGAACCTAGAGCTTCTTTTTAAAATTTATTTCAAGTCACATGGCAGGTTATTTAGAGGATTTAGATTTTTTTTTGAAAAATTCTTATTCGAGATGCTGAAAAATTACATTAGAATTGCATACTTTGGTGTTTATCTCACCACATACCTTTAAGCTGTGTTCTTTAGAACATCTTGATTTAATTATATTTATTTCTGACAATTGCTATAATGTGTTTGCTACAGAAAATCTGCAGAAAAAAAGTAATAAAAGTAATTTACCCATAATGTTAGCACTAAAAGGGTGTCTATTAACCATTAATGTTTTGCTTTGTTTACAAATGCATATACAGTTTTCACATGGTTGAGATTATACTAGGAATATAATGCTGTAACTCTCTCTTTTCATATTGCATTATCGGCATTTCAAAAGGACAGTCAAACTTTTAAGCAACACCGGTTTTATTGGCCATAAAGTTGTATATAATAGATATCTATAATAATTTATTTGGTGACAAGGTGCTGTCTTTTTTTTCTAATATAAATAATAATGCAGTGACCAGCTTTATGTATGTATCTATGTTAGTATGTTGGATTATTGTACTCATGATGGATTCCTAAAAGGATAATCACTGACTCAAATAGTCAGCCTTATAAGGCTCTTGACAAGCACACTAATGTTAATATGTTGATTACTTTTTTAAAAATAAAGTTGGTTAGATGTATTGTTTATGTTGAGTTTGCATTGTTTCATTTCTTGTTAGGTTTGAGGAAGCTAAGAAGGAGGCTTATGCAATAGATCAAAAGCTTGCAGAAAAAAAGGAAGATGAAGCTACCCTGGAAAAGAAATGGCCCTTCCTTGGTGTTCCTTTGACAGTCAAGGAAGCTTTCCAGCTACAAGGTACTGTTCTTTGTATTATTTTTAGCTACATAGGTTCAACTAGCACATGATGTACATTTTCAAAACTTAAAAACAAAAGAGATTATTACCAAAGTAAATGACTAATCTAAGCTTTCTCTTCAGTTTTGAAATGAAAATAAATATTCAGAAAGTTCCACTGAAAAAGGACATTATAATGATCATCCTCTGTTAACCCTGTATGGCATATTAATGCACTATGCTTATTACCCATTAATTCTAACAGCAGGCTTCTAAGAATATTATTATTGATATTATTTTTCAGATAAATAAACTGAAATTTATAATATAGTTTGCCAAAAGCCAAGCTGGGATTCAAGACAGTATTTTCTCTATAATGCAACTCTTATTTTGTAACTTCCTGCTAGCCTGAAAAAGTGAATAAAAATCCAAAATATTTGGAAATTAAACAACATGCTTTTATAACCCATAGGTCAAATAAACAAATCACAATAAAAATTTTGAACTGGAATGAAAAATAGCAATATAACAAAACTTATGGAATGCAAGTAAGGCAATTACTTAGATGCCTAAGTAATTTATGGCTTTGAGTGAATATATTTGAAAAGAAGAAAGATTTCAAATAAATCACTAAAATTTCTAACTTACCAACCGAGAAAAATAGAACAAATTGAACTCAAAGCAGGTAAAAGAAAAAAATTAAGATGGAAATCAATGAGTTACAAAAGAAGTAAAATCAATAACATCAAAAACTTTATTTAAACAGATCAACAAAACTAACAAACTTTTAGATAGGTTACCCAGAGAAAGAGAGAGCATGAGAGAGAGAGTGAGAGTGAGAGAGAGAGAGAGAGAGAGAGAGAGCGAGAGAGAGAGAGAGAGAGAGAGAGAAACATAAATCAATAAACCTGAAAACTGGAAAGGAAAAAGATGGCATGATTACAGTTTCTAAACATATTAAATAAAGTATAAGGTAATATTGTGAAAAAATTCCAACAAATTAGAAATTTTTTTTTTTTGAGTTGGTGTCTCACTCTGTTCCTCAGACTGGAGTGCAGTGGCTGCTCCCAGCCACCGCAGCCTCGACCCGCAGGGCTCAGATGAGCTGGGCAGCATGGTTGGTTCCATGTTTTTGCTATTGTGAACAGAGCTCCAACAAACATACATGTGCAGGTATCTTTTTTGTAGAATGATGTGAGTTTCTCTGGGTATATTCCCAATAGGGGAATTGCTGGTTCATACAGAAGGTCAATTTCTAGTTCTTTCAGAAATCACCACACTGTCTTCCAAAGAGGTTGTACTAGTTTGCATTCCCACCAGCAATGTAGAAGCATTCCTTTTTCTCCGCATCCTCGCCAGCATCTATTGTTGTTTGTTTTATGAATGATGGCCATTCTTACTGGGGCTAGTTGTGGTTTTTTTTAATTTGCATTTCTTTGATGATGAGTGAAGCTGAACACTTTTTCATGTGTCTGTTGGCTGCCCGTATATCTTCTTTTGAGAAGTGTCTATTCGTGTCTTTTGCCCTGAATAGGCATTGGTTGCCAGTTCCAATATCCATGAGGGGGTCTCCTGCATTTTCTAAGATTCTTATAGTTTGAAGTTTTTATATTTAGGTCTTTGATCCATTTAGAGTTAATTTTTGTGTATGGTGATGGATAGGGTCCTGTTTCAGTCTTCTACATGTGATCAGCCAGTTTTTCCAGCACCATTTACTGAAGAGGTTTTCCTCTCTCCAGTGATTTTTGGAAGTTTTGTCAAAGATGAGTTGGTTGAGGAATTGAGACTTTGCTTCCAGAATCTCTGTCATTTCCAGTTCTGAGAAGAATGATGTTGGTAACTTAATAGGTATTGCGTTGAATCTGTAAATTGCCTTTGGTAGGATGGACATTTATTTTAACAATGTTGATTCTTCCTATCCATGAGCATGGAATATTTTTCCATTTGTTTGTGTCTTCTAGGATTTCTCGGCATCTTCCTAACCAGAGAAGTGAAAGACCTTTACAACGAGAATTACAAAACACTGCTCAAAGAAATATTAAATAAAATAGAAAGATTTCTAGAATGATATAAATAAAAACTCCAAAATTCACTCAAGAGGAAAGGGAAAATATGATTACATTTACAGCAAGTAACGAGATTGAATTAGTACTTAAAAATCTCCCAACAAAGAAAATCCTATGCCCAGATGATTATATTAGTGAAAGCTATAAAATATTTAATAAAAAAAAATACAACTCCTTCTAAAACTTCTGGAAAATTGCTAAGAAGGGAACATTTTCTAATTCATTCTTTGATGCCAGTATTACCCTGATACGAAAGCTAGACAAAAATATCACAATAAATGAAAACTACAGACTAGTATCCCTCATGAATTTAGATGACAAATTCTCAGAAATATAGTGATAAAATGAAGATAGCAATATCTAAAAAGGTTTATGAGTTATGACCAAGCAGAATTTATCCAAGGAATACAAGGTCAGTTTAATAACAATAAAATTGCTAAAACTGATTGAAAAGTTTAGCAAGGTTACAAGGTACAAGAACATTTAAGTTGATTTATTTTTTAAAAATTATTTGGAGATTTATGTGTATGAGTGCAGTTGTATTATAATACTTCGATATATTGGGACATATTGCATAGTGGTGAAGTGTCAACTTTGAGTTTAACCATTACCTGAATAGAGTACATTGTACCCCACGGATAGTATTTGATTTGTCACTGTCCTCCCACCTTTTGGAACTTTCAGTGTCTATTATTGCACTCTGTATGTCCATGTATATCCACTGTTTAGCTCCTACTTATAAGTGAGAACGTGTGGTTTTGGACTTTCTGTTTCTGAGTCATTTCACTTAGGATAATGGCCGCCAGTTGCTGCAAAACACATGATTTCATTCTTTTGAAATGACTGAGCAATATTGCATTGTGTGTGTATCTGTACTACATTTTAAATTCAGTTATCTATTGATGGACACTTAGGTTGGTTCCATGACTTTACTACTGTAAACAGCGCTGCAATAAACATAACTGAGGTATATTTTTGATATAATGATTTATTTTCCTTTGTGTAGGTACCCAGTAGTGGGATGGCTGCATTGAATGGTAGTTCTGTTTTTTGTTATTTGAAAGATCACTATACTGTTTTCCATAAAGGTTGTATTAATTTGCATTCCCACCAAGAATGTATAAACATTCCTTCTTCTCCACACTTGCCACATCTGTTATTTTTTTGACTTTTTGTAATGGTAATTCTGAGTGATGTAAGATGATATCTCATTGTGGTTTTAATTTGAATTTCTCTGATGATTAGTGATGTTGAGCATTATTTTATGTGTGTTAGCCAGTTGTATGTTTTGTTTTAAAGGTATCTCTTAATTTTCTTTCTCAGCTTTTTAAAAGGGTATTTGTTTCTTTCTTGTAGAAATGCTAGAGTTCCTTATAGATTCTGGATACTAGCCTTTTGTTGGATGTATTGTTTGCAAATAATTTCTAATATTGTGTAGGCTGTCTGTTCATTCTGTCGAATATTTCTTTTGCTGTGTAGAAGCTTTTTATTTTAATTAAGTTCTGTTTATATATCTTTGTTACATTTCCTTTTGATGACTAGTCATAAATTCTTACCTAGGCCAACGTCCAGAATACTTTTTTCCTAGGTTTTCTTCTAAAATTTTTATAACTTCAAGTCTTCCATTTAAATATTTAATCTATCTTGAGTTAGTTTTTGTATATGGTGAGAAATAGAGGTTTAATCTCATTCTTCTCCATATGGATCTTCAATTTTGCCAGTACCATTTATTGAAGAAAATGTTCTTGTTTCAGTGTATATTTTGTTGACTTTGTGAAAGATCAGTTGGTTTTAGGCATGTGGCTTTATTATATGGGTTCTCTATTATGTTCCATTGATCTATGTGTCTATTTTTATATTTATGCTATGCTGTTATGGTTACTATAGCTTGTATCAAAGTTTGGAATCAGAAAAATGTGATACCTCCAGCTTTTTCTATTTGTTTTTTATTTTTTTTACTATTCAGGTTTGTTTTTTATTCCAATGAATTTTACAGTTGCTTTAAATAATTCTTTAAAGACTGACATTAGTAATTCAGTAGAAATTGCATTGGATTATTAGAATACTATGGGCAGAAGGGTCATTATAACAATATTGATTCTTTTGATCCATGAGCATGGGGTATTCTTCCATTTGTTTGTTTCATCTATGATTTCTTTCCTCAGTGTTTTGTAGTTCTCAGTGTTTTGTATAATCTTTTGCTTTCTTGGTTAAATGTATTCTTAGAGTTTTTGTGGTTATTGTAAATGGGATTGGGCTCTTGATTTGTTTTCAGCTTGAGTGTTATTGATGTGTAGAAATGTCACTGATTATTGTACCTTAATTTTGTATCCTGAAACTACTGAAATTGTTTATAAAATTGTTTACTGAAATTGTAGGAGTCCCTTGGAGAAGTCTTTCCAATCTTCTAGGTATACAATCATGTTATCAGTAAACACAAATAGTTTGACTTCCTCTTTGCCAATTTGGATGCCTTTATTCTTTTCTCTTTCCTGATTGCTCTAAGACTCTCTGTTGAATAGGAGTGGTGAGAATTGACATTCTTGTCTTTTTTCAGTTCTAAGGGGCAATGTTTTCAACTTTTTTCCATTAAGTATGGTGTTGATTGTGGGTTTCTCATAGATGGCTCGTATTATTTTGAGATATATTCCTTCAATGCCTAGTTTATTGAAGGTTTTGATCATGAAGTGGTATTGTATTTATCATATGCCTTTTCTATTGAGATGATTATATGGTTTTTGTTTTTAATTATGTATACATGAATCACATTTATTGCTTTGTCAATATTGAATCATCCTTGTATCCCTGGAATAAAACCCACTTGATTGTGATGGATTAGGTTTGATATGCTGTTGGATTTGGACTTTTGCACCCATATTCATCAGAGAGAGTCACCTGTAGTTGTGGTTGTTTCCTTGCCTGATTTTGGTATCAGGGTGATACTGGTTTTATAGAACGAGCTAGGGAGGAGTCATTTTTCCTTGATTTTTTTTTGGGAAGAATTTCAGTAAGGTTGGTACCAGGCCCCCTGAGGAGGTGCCTAGAATATATATTGTGTAGGTTCCTTTGGCTTTGATTCTGCCTACTTCCTTTTTTTGGGGGGGGGGTAAATCACTTTAGTTTTTATTTTTATATCTTAATTTTGTTATAGAGATGTGAGATACATGTCCGGATTAGGCACATAAGTAGTCTATGTGCAGGTGAAGTTTGGGCCTCCAAAATATACATTCCTACATCTTCATTAACTTTATCATGTAGTAGAGAGTTTCACATAGAAATCTTAAATATTTGCTACCTCAAATCCTCTTTTGAAGAAATAGGTTACAGATGCATGTTTTTATTAAAGTGACAGAAGAATAAGGATATCTGTGGCACAGATTAAATTTAATTGTATCACTATAGCAATGTTGTTATTTTTCCACCAAATAGACAACATCCAGATGTACAGAAAAAGAAAGAAAAAGAAAGGACATATCAATACCTGAAGAATTTTTTCAGTGAGCAGTGAACGGGCAGACATTTTGCATCTCTAATGATAGCCTACTGAGCATGCACACAGTGAGGATACTTTACCACTCTGGTGGTTACAAAGGGAAACTATACTTGCTCTTATTACAAAGAAGGGAATACACACACACACACACACACACACACACACACACACACACACACACACACACACGTATGACAGCTTGTAAGGCACATCCAAATGCAGAAGTAACTGTTGGCTGCTGAGTCTTCAGCCTAGTCACTATGTGGATATTATTATGCTTCTAGAGAGAAAATAGCATGTTCCCACTGAGCTAGGTGCAGATTTTCCTTGCTACCAGAAAAAACCCCCCAAAAAACTATGTCTCTCCAAGTATATCTTTTAACATATTCTTGATAATGTTTCAAGAATAATTGTCTTTTCTTCTATTTCACACATCTCCATGTTCTTCAGTGTCTTCCCACAATTCCACATATAGATTAGCATATGGTTCACCTCCTCTTGAGTGTAAAAGCATAAATAGTTTATCTTGGGTAATGTTTTCATTACTGTTACATTTCATGAAGCTTCTCCAAAGAAGGAAAAGAAGACTGCAGATGATTTAAAGATAGCTTATTTTGCTGGTGACCAGAAGCATATAAAGGAGAATATGGTAATGGAATATTTTGATAAGAAACACTAAATACTAAATAGTAATTTCAGGAAAGATTGAGTTTTATGATAATCTTTTTCATTTAATTGCAGATAATCCAATCCTCAGTTCTTGTTTGTCAAGTGACTGACTTAGAGTCATGCTTACTAGCAACTATGCAACCTTTAATTGCTTTAAGAATTTGACAGCTAGATAACTGATTTTTAGTATTTTGAACTTGACATTATGCTATCTTTTTATAAAACTTAAATGAAGCATCTGTTACTCTTAAATATTCAATACAGGATACCTAACACATTGTAAAATAATGTTGTGCTCAAAATTATTTTAGAAAACTCTGAAATGGGTCAGAAAAGAAGTACATTATCTCCAGATCCAAGATGAACCCATCATAAGTCATATGTCATTTTCTTTATTATTTCCTGTCACATACTATGATACTTAGTGTTGTCCATGAGAATTCACTTTATTATTCCATGAGCTCAATTAACAACATAAATATCTTCCACAAATTCATTACCGAAAGTATGACTGTTCAAAAATGAATAGAGTATGTTTTCTCTACCATTATTATACCATTATTACATTTCAAAGGAAAATTTAAAGTTTAAATGTCAAATATCTTTGTCCTTTTATTGTGTAAATATAAAGAAAACAAAGTTCAAATTCTTTATACTCTGAATACTGCATGCAATGTGCTTAGTTTCATCAAGACTCAGAAACCAGCGGAAAGAACCTTAGTCTAGGATGTCTTCCTCCTCAGGTCATTGAGGTTGCATTAATTCAGCTCTGAAATTCTTAGGTCTCATTATTAATGTTCTAACAATTATTTTTATTTTTTTATTTTATCTTAAAGGTGTGGGGTACAATACAGGATTAGGTAGATAAATGGTCATAGTACAGATAAAGTTTGGGCTTCCCTTTGGTCCCCACTTCACCTGGTGATTCTGTGTACTTTTAGTGGTGACAAACCTATATAAGTTTCTTGGATATAGATAATTTTTGTCTGTTGGTTTCCTGAGTACTGGTTGTATTGAAAATGTACTGAAGATGCGAGTCTACTTACTTTCCCCTGTGGGACTGGGGTGGTGGATGTCTCGGGAAAATTAACTTGTTTCTCACTGGTGTGTGGTGGTGTCGGCAGGTTTCTTATTTTGTTGCATCTTTTAACCTCCAGGCCAGCTGGTTGCAATTATGGGTAAGAGTTGGCTACTGACAATGTGGTTGGATATTTACTTAATCCTTGTTTACTGAGAGAATCTCTCTTTTACCTCAGGCAATGAGGTGATTTGTGGAGTGTGATTTGTGGAGTATGAGATCCCTTTTCAGCCCCAAAGTTGGTGGTGGAGTAGAACCAGAATGTGCTGAAATGAACCAGGCATGCCCACCTACAGGTCCACTGAGAGCAGTCACAAGCACCTGCTCTGAGGCAGGATCTGGTGTGCAGCTGCCTAGTGCCCAGAGGTGTGCTTAGGTTTGGTGGTGTCATGGAACCTCTGCTGCCCCAAGTTCTTTGCACAGGAGTAGAGCGAGTGCTTCCAATACCTAAGTATATGTCCAGCTGTAGAGCAGAAAGAGGCAACTGCACCAAGAACTCTTACCAAGGAAGGACATGTGGCTCGGTTTCTAATCCAGGTGAGCAGGTGTATTAAATATGTCTTAGCAAAGAGTGAATAATATGCCACTGTAATAAGTTATTTGCAGTAGATGGTAGGAGTGGCTGGTAGCGGTGGCTCAAGCTCCTTTTCCAGGGTAGCAGGTGTGCCTCTGGTCAGGGTATATGCCCAGGAAAGAGTACAGAGATATCACTGCCACAACAGGGTCTTTTCACAGAAAGTGACACATATGAGAGTTTCTGCTGGGTATATTATAAGAGTGGTATTGCTGATTCATATGGAATGGAATATCTTCTACTTTACCAGATATTTTGGCATTGCTTGCTATAGTATCTTAGTTTACATTCTACTGGAAGTGTAAGACCAGTTACAGTTCTCTGGTTTTGCTGATATTCAGATTTGGTAGAATTTAGTTGTTTTGTCAGCACAACAGGTGAGAAATGGTGTCTTGTCATTGTTTTAATTTGTAATTTCCTCAATTATTTTTTAGATTAAGTATATTTTAATATACTTTTTGGCCTTTCAGGATTTTTGTCTGTAAAACTCTTAATTTTCTTTGCCTAAGTTTGTATCAGCATGTTCGTATTTTTATTATTGACCTATATGTTTATGTATTTTTGATACTAATCCTTTAATGTTTATGGTGCAACTAACTTCTCCCAATTTTTTGATTTATGATTTTTTAAATATTTTGATATTTCTAACATTATTTATGCCTTATTTGGTTTAATAGAAGTAGCTAATATTTTGAATGAATAAATCTTATATTTTATACTTTCTGCTTTTATGTTCTATTTAAAAAGTATTTTCCAAACTTGTGGCTATAAAATATTTGCATATATTTTATTTTAGTATTTTTAAAACTTTATTTTCCATATTTACGTGTTTAGTCTATACATATACTGATTGTATAATATGATTTAGTGATATGTATTTCTCTATATTAATAAGTAGTTTCTTTAGTACTATTAATAAGTCATTCTTTTCTTACTGATCTAATTGTCACCTCTATTTTATACCAAATTTTATATATTCCTGGATTATTTCTTGGCCCCTCATGTTTCTGCATGACCTTGGTTTAGTGTTTTTGCTTCTCTAAACCTATTTATTTCTAAGATTGGTTAATAAAAGTATTTACCCATTTGGGTTGTTGGACAGGAAAATTAGTAATAATATCTTCTATTTATTTAATATGTATTGACGCTTTACATTTATTCTCCCATTTAATCCTCTTAAAAAATTGAACTTCCGAAAAGTTAAGTGACTTGCCTACAGTTTGAAGAATCATTTAGGTAAAGTTGGAATTTGGACTCAATTCTGACTCTGAAGATTGTGCACCTTTTAATAAGTCATGCCTCCTCTTAGAACTTAAGCAAGTTACTTAGTACAACTTAGTTTGGTTGGTTCATTTTATATGTGCTCAATAAATAGTTATTCTTTTTATTTAACTTTTATTCTAAATTGCTTTTCTGTGACTCATATAGGAATGCCAAATTCTTCTGGACTCATGAACCGTCGTTATGCCATTTCCAAAACAGATGCCACCGTGGTAGCATTTCTGAAGGAAGCTGGTGCCATTCCCCTTGGCATAACCAACTGTAGTGAATTGTGCATGTGGTATGAATCCAGTAACAAGATTTATGGACGATCCAACAACCCATATGATTTACGTCATATTGTAGGTGGAAGTTCTGGTGAGTTGTACATTTTAGTAGGGAATTTCTGTAAGAAGGAGGGTAGAACTACTATTGCACAAACCTCTGAGAAAGCAATAATCAGCAGTTTATGGTGAGTCAGAATGTGTTAAAGTCTGTTGGAGAGCATTGTTGACAATGAACACATATTCTTGTTTCTACTGTGTGTGTGTGTGTGTGTGTAGCAAGAGAGAGAGGAAGAGCGCCAGAGAGAGGGGAGGATATGTATTACTAAATTTGGTTTAGTTTAAGGCCTACTTCTTATGAAGACAAATAATGTAAGAACATTGAGCCCTGGTAACTGTGTGCCAGGAATGCTAATGCAGGAATATAGCAGATGTGGCCATAAAAATCTTCTCTGAGGAGGTGATATTTACAATGAAACCCAGTGAATCAGAGAACTATCACTCACTGGGAGTGGAAGTAGGTGGAACAGAGAGAATTCTAGGTAAAACACAAAGTGAGACCATGTTTAATGTGTTCAGTAAACAAAAAGTAAATCAGTGTAGTGTATAAGACAGAGAGGAGTTAAAGATGAAATCAGAAAGGTTGGTGCAGGCCAGATTATATAGAGAAGCAAAAGGAGAGGCAAAAAGAGAAATTAAGAGTCTTTTTTAGTAATCCAGGAGACAAATGATACTTGTTTCGGCTAGTGCTTGTGGAGATGAAAAAAAGTAGATGGTATTAAAGACATTTTAAAAATAGACTTTAACATGACTTACTGATAAATTGGATGTGTGGCTGTAGAGATGAGGGTAAAATACAAGTAAAAAATAACTCCAGTGCTTCTGACTTGAGGGATGGTGCAGGAATTTATTCAGATAGTGAAAACTGGAAGGGGCAGACAAATGTGGGCAGTATGATATATGAATATTATTTTTAACCAAGGAATTAATCAGTGATATGAAAGAAATATCAATAGAAACTTCCAAAACTGTACTACATATTTTAAAATTATTATTCTACATTCTTCATTTTAAATATACAACTATGATGTCACAGTTACAGATTACATTTATTTTTTAAATTCTTGAAGTATAATTGATATAAAATAAACAGTACATATAGGAGTTCTGGGACACAGTCAAACGCCTGCAGTCACCCATCAAACACACAGTCAAGAAAATGCCATGTTCAAAATTGTACAACATTTCACAGAAATTTTCTCACCCTGGACTCACCCCTCCCCCTTGCTTGGCACAGTACAGTATAGGGAGGAAGCAACAACCCAATTTCCAATTCCCTTCTTTTAAAAAAGGGAGCAGGGCATAACTTATTTACAATGTTCTGGCCTGTCTGGGAGCTGCCTAAGGGACTGGTCTCTGATTTGCCTAACTCAGAGCTTATAGGGAGAAAGGGAGTATAGCTTGGATCTCATATTGGGAAATGTCGCAGGGAAGAGTGGATATTGTTTATGAAAGTTTCAGGCATACGCCGCTCTTCAGACTCCTGGAAAAAGACATTATGTATCTGGAAGTACAATAGAACATTTAAGTACCTGATGAAAATCTGGGGTGAGACTATTTGGGATATTAAGACTTGCAAAACACTCCTTTATATGGTAATTGAAAAGTTCACACAAACACCCCCCCCCGGGGGGGGGGGGAAAGAAACTTTTTAGATAAGACTTTATCAGTAATTCCTTTGAATGTAAATGGATTAATAGTCCTAAAATATATAGATTGGAAGAATGTATTAAAATCATGACCTAAATATATGTTGTCTATAAGAGGCAGTTTAATCTAAAGATACAACGTGAAAAGATGGGAAAAGATATTCCATTAAACCAGTAACCTAGACAATTTATTTATTTGAAAGGAGTATCTTGTGCTTCCTATAGGTGGTGAGGGCTGCACACTGGCAGCTGCCTGCTCAGTAATTGGTGTGGGCTCTGATATTGGTGGCAGCATTCGAATGCCTGCTTTCTTCAATGGCATATTTGGACACAAACCTACTCCAGGTAATGTTAATATGATGGGCAGGGTGTTTTTACCTTTATGTTTCAGAGCGATGCATAACCCTAGCAGGATAATCTTGCTTATGATGATGATGATGATGATTTCTGAATGTTCTTAAATTAAAATTGCTATCTATTTTGAGCACCAACTCTGGATTTGGTGCTCAAAAACTGTGCAAGGTGACTTACATAATTTATTTCATTTAATACCCATAGTAACCATTTCAGTAACCATATTCTCATTTTACAAATGACAAATTCAAATCTCTGAAAGATTATGTAAACTTTCCCTAATTACATAGTTAAACAAGTAAATAGTAGTGCTCGGATTCACACCCACTTTGATTACCAGAGGCTGTCATCTATCCACTATATTAAACTGACTCATCAGTTAAATCTGATTTCTGCTTACTTAAAAAGTAATGAAACACAATTTGAAAAACATTGGACAGGAAAAATTTATGTAATCTGAAGACTACAATTATTAACCTTTATTAGGTTTTTGTTTTGTTTGTTAAAACAATGCATGCTCAATGTTGGCAATTTGGAAAATAAGAAACATAAAGAAGAAAATAAATATTATTCCTAATTCCACTTGCCAAAATTTATTTATGAGTTCTATGCTGTGCCCTTGTAACCCATGTACCAGGCACTGTGGGTTTTTATATACAGATACAACCCACATAACACACAAACAGACACAGACACAGAAAGATACTAACATTCTCTCTCTCTCTCTCTATCTCCTTCCCACGCATAAGAATACACATGCATGCATACACATGCACACTCACCCCCAAACATTTTATCTTGAATTTAAAATTAAAATTATACTGTGCCTAATGGCTTATAGCCTCTTTTTCTACCCACTAAACTTTATACCAGTATTTTTCTATGTCACTAAAATGAATTGCAAGTACTATTTTAGTGAGTGTATATTTATTACCTGGATGCCTCACAATTTAGCCTACTAATCCTCTGTTGTAGGATATTTGTGATGGTTCTAAAATTTTATTATTACATTAATGTTGCAGTCCTATTATTTGTTTGTTATTGCTATACATCTCATAAACATAACCTGAGGATGAATTACCAGTAATGGAATTAGAGTAAATACACATGAATATTTTATTTTATTTATTTTATTTTTGTTTTATTTTTTTGAGTTGGAGTCTCACTTGGTCGCCCAGACTGGAGTGCAGTGGCTGCTCCTGGCCACCACAGCCTTGCCTGCTGGGCTCCAGTGATCCTTCCGCCTCAGCCTTCTGAATAGCCGGAATTACAGGCATGCGCTACCACGCCTGGCTGATTTTTTGATTTATTGTAGAGATGAGGTCTCACTGCCCAGGTGGGTCTCGAACCCACGGACTCAGGCAATCCACTCACCTCAGCCTCCCAAAGGCGTGGGATTACAGGCTGAGCCACTGAGCCCAGCACACATGAATATTTTAAAAGATATTTTATATTTCTTGCTATTTTTGTGATATAACCTCTCATAAATTGAATAACTAAAGCCTCTTAATGCATTTTGCTCCACTGTTATTCACAAAGGCCAGACTGATTTATGTTTTCATAAGTAATGATTGAAAATTCCTTTCACTGCACTTTTATGTGCAAGGGGAATTATCATTCAGAAAAAAAACTATTATGTTAAAGAGGAATGAATGTCTTGCATGTCACTCAAACTACCATGTGTTCAGTGTAATAACACAATTCAAAGGCATTTAATTCTGTACTCAAAACTTCTTATTTTTATTCTACTTTCTTCATTTTAAATATACAGCTATGATGTCACAGTTACATATTAGGTTAATTTTTTAACTTCTTGAAGTATAATTGACATAAAATAAACAGTACGTATTTAAAGTATATAATTTGATAAGTTTTGACATATATGTGCATCCATAAAACCATTATCAAAATCATGATAATAAACATATACATTACCCCCAAAAGTCTATTTATGGCCCTTTAAAATTACGGTTTCCCCCTACTGCTGTCATATCCACATGATAATACTGATCTGCATTCTGTCACTATGCATAAGTTTGCATTTTCTAGAGCTTTTATAAATGGAATTATACACTTTGTGCTGCCCCTTTTTAAATAAATGGTATTTTGAAATTCAGCATAATGCCATTAAGATTCATCTCTGTTGTATTGATTTATTTCTATTAAATTGTACTCCATTGTGTAGCTGCAACCCAGTTTGTTTATCCGTTCATCTGCTGATGGACATTTGGGTCATCTCCACTCTTTAATTCTTTTTGGCTAGTATAAATAGTGTAACTGTGAGCATTCAAATACAAGTCTTTGGGTATACATTCATATACAAGTCTTTGGGCATACATTAACCTGTAAGTTTTATGACTGGATCATATAGTAGGGTTTTGTTTTTGATTGTGTGTTTGTTTCTACATTTTAAGAAACTACTAAACTGTTTTGCAAGTGGGCCTTGCCATTTTATGTTCCCAACAGCAGTGTATGAAAATTGAAGTCTCCTCACACATTCGCCAATTAAGTAATCATTTCTAATTCCCTATTTTCCGTAGCCCCTGGAAACCACTAATCTTTCTATGAATTTACCAAGCCTGGGTATTGCATATAAATGAAATGAAACAATATGCATGCTTTGTCTTTTGTGTCTGTATTCTTTTATGTAACATAATATTTTTAGGAATCATGTATGTTATAACATGTATCAGTGCTTTATTCACCTTTATGGCTGAATACTATTACATGGTATGGATTTGCCACATTTTATTTTATTATTATCAATTTTTTGTATTTTTAGCCCATCCTCCAAATAGTGAACATGGTACCCAGTAGGTAATTTTTCAAATCTCACCTTCCTCCTAGCATCTCTGTTTTTGAAATTCCCAATGTTTATTGTTTTCATCTTTATTTTTCTGTATACTCATTGTTTAGCTCTCACTTATAAGTGAGAATGTTTAGTATTTGATTTTTTGTTTGTGTGTTAATTCACTTAGGATAATGACCTTCTGATGCATCCATCTTTCTGCAGAAGACATGATTTTTATTCTTTCTTATGACTCTGTAGTATTCCATGGTGTGTATGTACCACATTTTTTTAATCCAGTCTACCAATGATAGACATTCAGGTTGATTCTATGACTTTGCTATTGTGAAAAGTACTATGATAAACATGAGTGTAGGTATCATCTTAATAAAATAATTTCTTTTGGGAGGATAAATACCCAGTAGTACCACATTTTGTTGATCTACACATTAATTGACAAACTTTTTTTTCCCCTTTATTTTTTTGAGTTGGAGTCTCACTCTGTCACCCAGACTGAAGTGCAGTGGCCGTTCCTGGCCACCGCAGCTCGACCTGCTGGGCTCCGGCGATCCTTCCACCTCAGCCTTCCAAGTAGCTAGAGTTACAGGCAGGTGCTACCATGCCTGGCTGATTTTTTGATTTATTGTAGAGATGAGGTCTTGCTGTCCAGGCGGGTCTTGAACCCGCGGTCATTTTTGATTACTGTAAATACTGCTACTATAAATATTTGTATACTATTTTTAAAAAAGATTTGATTTCAGTTCATCTGGTTATATGGCCAATACTGGAATGATTAAGTTATATCATGATATTATGTTTAGCTTACTGAGAAATTACCCAAATGTTTTTCTCAGTGGCTGAAAACATTTATATTTTCACTGGAAAAAGAATAGAATTCCAATTTTTCTGTATCCTCATCAACAATAGTTATTTTGCATTTGTTATTATAACCCTCCCAATGGGTAAAAAGCAGTATTTCACTGTGGTATTGATTTACCTTTTCCTGATGACTAATAATGTTAAGCTTCTTTTTATGTGCTCATTGACCTTCTTTATATCCTCTTCAGAGAAATGTCTATGCATGTCCTCTTCCCAATTTGAAATGTATTTCTTTAATTGTTGTTGAGTTTTAGGAGTTGTTATCTATATTGAATATTAGTCCCTTATAAGATGTATGCTTTGTAAATATTTCTCGCCTTCTATGGTTGTCTTTTCACTCTCTTGGTGATGACCTTTGGTACATAAATTTTTTTAGTTTTGAAGGAGTATATTTTATCTGGTTTTTTTCCCAGTGCTTTTGGTGTCATAACCCCAAAATAATGGCCACATATAATGTCATGAAGATGTTTTTCCCTATGTTTTCTTCTAGGTGTTTATAGTTTTAATTCTTTTGATATACTTTTGATTCATTTTGAGATCAATTTTGTATATGGTATAAAGTGACTCAGACTTCAATATTTAAATGTGAATATCCAGTTTCTCCAAGATTTTTTGAAAAGACTGTTCTTTACATATTTAATGGTCTTGGCACTCTTCTCACATTTAAAATAAAATAAAATAATAAAATAAAAGTCAATTGACCTTATATGCAAAGTTTATTTCTGTTATCTGTAATCTATTCAATTGTTATATAAAACTGCCTTAATTGCTGCTGCCACACTGTTTTGATTTGTATGGCTTTGTAGTAAATCTTGAAATCAAGAAGTTTGAATCTTTCAACTTTGTTCATATTTTTCAATTTTGTTTGGGCCATTTGGAGATATCAAGATTACATATGAATTTTAAGATATGGTTTTCTATTTCTGAAGAAACATAAGTCATTGGGATTTTTGTTGAAATTTCATTGAATTGGTAGATTGTTTTAAATATTATTATCACCTTATCAATATTAAGAACCCATGGGGACAGCAGGGAGACCTGGTGCACAGGGTGACAGCAGCCAGTATGCACAATGATGTACTTCAAACACACTGGTATCCTTGATAGGTACTATCCAGGTGAGAATGGTAGGGATTCTAGAGAGCCTGCATTTCTCAGAACAACTGAAAATCTACTGTATGGTTACTTTGTTGTTGTAGCTGGACAGGGTGGGCAAATAGAAGCTGATGAATTGCAGAGATGTTTGACATAATTGGGCATTCCTAGAGGATACAAATATTTTAACCTCAAGATTTGTCAGTTTATGGTTTCAAATCTGGGTAAA